GATTAATTTGGCCTAATAAGAGCTCATCAACAAGCCATGCCCGCCTATGGGCTGCTATATTAACGCTCTGAGGGTTAGAGGCTCGGAGAACCACAACTGAGCCATGGCGCTTTTGTAAATTTCAGCGGCAGAATTGCGATTGGATAATGTTAATGGTTTATTAGACATTTGCATACCACGTGTTACCTTAATACGTTGAGCGTCACTGGCGTGATGGTCTAATGATTGTGAACGGACTGCAATGGGGCATTTAGTGCACCGTCGTCGATGTGGCGTTCCAACTTGCAGGAGTGGAGCTTCTGTTGGGGAGAGAAGAGTTGGCAGTGCAGGTCCAACGCGAGTCTCTTTTGCATTGCGTAGACCTATAGACCTATTGCTGACGTGAAAATAAAACTGCTTAGTCGAGTGGGAAAAGAGTTTACTTCTCTTTTAAATCAACTCGAACTTTTGGCATATTGCCGGCTGTGTTGAACAGATTATACACTCAGCTAATGGTAAGACAATAAAGCTAAACTGATGGGCGCCTGGATAAATTGAGGTACATTTAAGGTAATTCTCATTCGCGAGCGTTGTCTGTTGTCTTGGCCAAGGCTACCCACTATCATCCAATATTACTGCAACATTCCTTGTCTGATTAAGGAAGCGGGCTCTACACGTGTAATTTCCCCATATACTCCAGGACTGACATTGTACATAAGCAGGGCCCAGTGTTAAATTGACCAACCGACCAGATCGGAAGGTTGCGAGTTCAAATAATTGTTGTAGATTGACAGCCCCCATCATCCCTCTGGGGGTCGTGAAAATGGATACCACTTTTCTAAGGACGTCAACAGTTGCTATTCTGTGGATTGACCCATCCCTGCAACAGGAATGTGGAATTGCAACCAATGGCTCAGAACAGTAAACGGAAGACGAATCACCACCTTCAATGCTCATCTGAGCGAGAAAAAAATTGCACTTTTGAATGCCCATTGAAGCAGGAGGCTGCTTAGCCTTGGCAACAGCAGGCACGGCATGCTCAACACGCCACCGATTTCCATAGCCCCGAGCCATAAAATATGACTCTGCACTCTCGCTAAACCCTAATCGAGGGGCCAACGTAGCAATCGATCCTGACTGAATCCGTGCCATGGCTCCCTGTGACTCGCCCCCATTCATTTGGTTATATATAGACCCTTTCGTAATCAAAAGGGTGTGTGCATCAGATTTAGCTCTGGCAAATCCCCACAAAACCAATGGCCGTTTCGGATAGAATACCTCAAGCAAATGCGCTCACCTACACCTAGGAGAAATGGAGAGCGAGAGACCAAAATAACGCAGTTGTTTAATTTCGTTCATCTTTCCCCGTATAATGTGAATGAGATCTGCTCATATGCCGGCAGTGAGAACAGATCGAAGCTTTTCAGGACCACGAAGGATAATGCCGGTGTGGGGAGGCCTTCATTCAGCAGTGGAGAGATTATGGCCAAATGATTATTGTGACGGATTGACCGTGATGCTTGCGCACCTACGGTTAGCACGGTTGGCTAGGTGCGGTGCGAAAGAAGCCCGACGTACATACATGCGTCAAGAACAGCACCCACACTTTCTCCGACCAAGCCAGGCAAAGCCCATCTTAACCGGGAGGAATATAGGCGAGGTCAAAGATCGTGGGGCCTCACCAGAGGTTGACCTGTGATGCTTCCATAGGAACACATTCCTCCTGCGGAGGGAGCTGGTAGGAACGTTGGGTTGCTCGGTCAATGGGCAGGGTCAACGGCGGCGTGGTGTATTCCGCAAATATGGGCGACTGTGAGGGCGGGCACAAGCAGGCGTGAGTAGGTTAAACGTTAGGTTTTATAAGGGTACCAGCCCCTTCCCACCCAGCCCCACCCCTCCCACCCCCCACCCAGCCCCACTCAGCCCCTCCTCACCACCCAGCCCCTCCCAGAGGTCGCAATCGGGTACCCGATACCCGTACCCTACCCGATACCCGGCTACCCGTACCCGGCCGGGTACGGGTACCCGTTTGCGACCCTGGTGCGGCCGTAACGGGTAAGGAATCAAAACCCGTTTGCGACCTCTTGCCCCTCCCCACCCTCCCCTCCCCACCCACCCAGCCCCTACCTTTCCACCCAGCCCCTCCACACCTTCTCCACCCAGCCCCACCCCTCCCATATTTGGAATGCACGACGGACACAAGAATCCCCTGTGGGCTGGTGTAACCAGGAGGTTCCAACCAGTATATTCCACCTCTGGCTCAGAGGCTTTATCGGAGACGAGCACTGCACCAAACCCGCCACAGCTCCAGACGTAACGGGAAATGCATGATAGCAAGCAGCGAGTGATTTAATTTCATATAGCGGCTATTCATGGCAACATAATTCCACAACGCTGTAAATTAATAATATACAATGACCAAATCCCATGTGCGCGGTTGGATACGCACTCACACCCACACAAAGCAAGCAAATGAAAACCCTACTTACCAAAGCGAAATCATAAAAATGATGACGAGTTGTAGCGTGAGTCCACCCAAACCGGTTCCTCACTTGGTAAATCCAGCGGTGGATTGATAATGGGCTGTGCATGTACACACCTGATGACGGCTGCTTGCGTTGTGGCCGAAACGTCGTGAGAATTGTATTTTATTATGTAAAAAAATGTTTTGTATTATTATTTTTATTTCCCTTCTACGTGACTTTACCGAAAGAACCAAGAAGATGAATCCCTGCAGTCACGAAAGCTTTAAATCGAAATTTAACATGTACGTATCGTTTACACCCTATGAGAATCTTGATTTGAAGCTTTCGTGACTGCAGGAATCCATATTCTTTGTTTCTTTCGATAAAGTCACGTGGGTAGAAATAAAATAGAATGAATCACGACGTTTCGATCACAACACAAGCGACCGTCATCAGGCGGAACCGATACAGCAGGACAACTGCAGATTTAGATCTTTCTCCGAAATCAGCTGTTGTCCTGCTGTATCGGCTCCGCCTGATGACGGTCGCTTGTGTTACCCTATAAGAAGCTGATTTATTAATGCGGCGATAACTCCGCTGACCACCGGAGATAACTCTAATTGTTAACAGTGTGGGTTCACTCTCCAACACACTGGTGCGCGTTTTGCTTACGTGACGAACCTTACTAATTGGCTGTGTCGGGTGGTGGCGGGTTTAACGACACATTTATATATTTACGCGATCTGACCAAAAAAACCTCTTATGTATAATACTGGTCGCGAAAGCCTAAAAACCCTCTACTCCGCCATTACCCCATTTTACAATTTCACCCAACACAAGTCGGGCCCAGGGCCAGATTAACGCAGCAGGAGCTATATGGGCTTGACCCTTGAGCCCCCCACCCCCCCCCCCCCAAGCACCAACATATATATATATATACAGCACTGCTTTATAATGGTTGTAAGGCAATGCAGTAGCACTAATTCCACAGTAAAATTCGGTCGTTAAAGCAGCAGCATCAATATGCGTACCGCTGCCGGTCATGTTCCGACATGAAATTAGTTTTGTTCATTTTAATGTTGATCACGCTTTGCAATGCGTACATAACATAAAAAAACAGTGCTGAAACAACCAAAACACTTAATCACATTCGTCTCAAAATGTAAAACGTAACAGTAGGTGACGTTTCAAACGATTCCTCTTCTTAATATCCAATTTGACACGGTATAATTTTATGGGGGGTTATTTTGTTGTTGTTTGCGCTTGTGAAACTGCTGCCAACTCAGTCACCAAATCATTCGTGAGGTAACCACGGCAAAATAACAATGCGGCATTTGGCATGGGTGGCGGTAAACTCCGAGTGGCTCGCAAGCGGAAGGTTGTGAGTTCAAATCCTGGTTGGAGTTTGACTTCATCCCTCCCGGAGTTGATACAATGACTGCGACTTTGTGGGGAGGGTAAATTCACCACACCGTCCCAAGTGCCATCATAACCAGGAGCTGAGCGCTGTCTCAGTGTTCATTGTACAAATTGGAGCCCCCAAAATTCAAATTTTCCTCCTCAAAGTAAATTTGACGGTAAAGAGACTACGTGCCACTGATGTGAGCCCCTTTCAGATGCGCTTCTGCGGCCGTCTGGAACGCTCGTCCTTCAGATATCAGGAAGTCACTCGAGTTATGCACTTTTAAATAATCTAGGTTGAAAACTAATTTCTTTAGAATTGCTATTTGTGTTCAGTTTGTCCTTCCCGCCACACCGCCGATTAGCACGGCTGGCTATGTAAGGTTCGAAAGAAGTTCAACACACGTACAGGTCTTGGCTGCTCCCAGAGATGCCAGTCTTCATATCGGTGCCGCCGTGTGCGCACTCCTGTATGAATGTTGCGCTTCTTTCGCACCGTACGTAGCCAACCGTGCCCATCGAAGGTGCGTTAACACCCGCCTCCGCCTTGAGCCCTGCCAGCCAAACATCCCCTATGATACTGGTAGGAACCTCCTGGTTACACCAGCCCACAGGGGATTATTGTGTCCGTCCGTCCGTCGTGCATCCAAAAATGGGAGGGGTGGGGCTGGGTGGAGAGGGGAGGGTGGGGAGGGGCTGGGTGGGGAGGGTGAGGAGGGGCTGGGTGGGGCTGGGTGGGGAGGGTGGGGCTGGGTGGGGAGGGTGGGGCTGGGTGGGGGGTGGGAGGGGTGGGGCTGGGTGGGGAGGGGCTGGTCACCCCGTGGTGCCCTTATAAAACTCAACGTTTAGCCTACTCACGCCGGCTTGTGCCCGCCCTCACAGTCGGGCATATTTGCGGAATACACCACGCCGCCGTTGACCTTGACCATTGACCGAGCAACCCAACGTTCCTACCAGCTCCCTCCGCAGGAATGTGTTAAGACCATTGGCATATCCAGGGAGTGGCAATTCCCAGCGCCTCTGCTCTTTGTATTTAGATTGTTGTCCTTCCCCCGCACCCTCGATTAGCACGATTTGCTACGTACGGTGCGAAAGAAGTTCCACACACATGATCAAGTGAACCCAGCTGACGCAACCTGTTTCCTGGGCGGCTAGATGCTGTTCGTGCTTCTGCTGGTCGCCTCGAGCACGGTGCGCTCAGAACGCCTGCTGTGCGACGGAGAGGAGCAAGCCAACTTCACAGGTGAGGGCCCAGCGAACAACACACACCTGATTCTAGATTTGAAGCTTTCGTGACTGCAAGGATTCATACTCTTAGTTCTTTCGGTAAAGTTACGTAGGTAAAAAATGAAATTAAAATTAATAAAAATAAAACAATAAAAAATATAATAATAATCACGACGTTTCGGAGGCAACACACCTGATGATGGAGACTTGTGTTGCCTCCGAAACGTCGTGATTTTTTTTTTTTATAATTTTTTTTTTTTTAATTTTTTTATTGTTTTATTTTTATTAATTTTAATTTCATTTTTTACCTACGTGACTTTACCGAAAGAACTAAGAGTATGAACACACACCTGCGCATTCCGCCACCGCCGCTGCTCCTGCCCTATAAACTTTCCGTTTAGTGTAAAACGTACACGGCTCGCTGGCCAAAACACATATATGTTTCTAGCACAGCTGCTGAGCACAGGCCAAAAGCATCAAACGGTCAAGGCAACAAATAGCACCGTCACAGTTGTTTGTCGTAGATGAGAGGGTGTAACACGCCCCCTGCATTGGTGCAAGGTTATGAGAGTCTGGGAAAAGAGAAGACGGTTGGGCGAATTCCAAATTTGTTGGAGGAAAGCTATTGGGAAGAAAACAAAGGGAACAATGTACGGATAACTAGGGCGTTTGATTTGGCTATTGCCACAGTATTGTATGAATGTTGAACTTCTTTCGCACTCTATGGGGACCTCGTTTGCCAGTAAAAATATGATAATTGGTTCTTTACCCTTCTATCTGGCAACAAAACTGACACCTTTTTACAAGGAGTCATGTTTGCATAGACCCGAGCTCTCATACTCTGATGGTGCATTGTCTTTGAGTTGTGCGCCTTTTGGCGTCTTCTGGTCCAACCCATGTGAGACTAGGCTCAAGGACAGTGCATACATTATCAGAGTTATGTCTTTTGTTTGTATTATGACTGCAGGTATTGCGGTCTATGCAAACATGACTCCTTGTAAAAAGGTGTCAGTTTTGTTGCCAGATAGAAGGGTAAAGAACCAATCATCAACTTCTTTCGCACCGTACGCAACCAACCGTGCTTATCGTAGGTATTATCTCCCTAAGCCATCCAACCGCCTCGCACAGCATTGCAGTGTGGTACTCTGCGTTCTATTGTTAGTTCTCTTTTACTTCGCTATGCCTTCCTGGGTATGTTGACGTTTGGCGGAGTCAGTGTACATCAGAACGGCTTGTCTTGGTAAGTCGTTCCGATGCATTGACGCAATGTGCTCTCCCATTGTTGGTCTGTCAGGCTTTATACAAGGGGGATTTGCACACCGCAAGGGTAGCCGTGTAGCGCGATTGTCATTGCATTTGCCGCTGTGCCAACTCGTTCCAGCAAACATGGTTTAATTCGAGCTACCGCTGGCGGATAATAGATTGCGTGTGTGTGTGTGTGTGAAAACTACTCAAAGCATTTCTGTGTATTTTAATTTCGATGCTCAACAATCTCGAACATCATTTGCAAGTGGAGGCTATTGTACGATCGTGACATTGTGAATCTGATAGTCTGAGCCAGGTCACATTTTGCCGCACAAAACAAATCTGTTTTTCAACTTAATTCGATCAAGCCAAGGCCACGTGGGATTAATTTGGCAGATGTCAAAGTCAAAAGTGTCCCCTGCTCAAATGAATATCGAGACGGTACTTGCCTCTCATTCGGGCCCTAATCAATGTATCGACATTCCCAATTCCTGTTGCCAGAGCTGGGCCATCCAAAATATAAACATTGTCATCGTAAAGTCACGTAGAAAGGAAATAATAAAATAATAAAAATAAAACATAATAAAAATTCTCACGACGTTTCGACTGCAACACAAGCAATCATCATCAGGTGTGAAATCCACAGCAAGAAAGTTTGAAAAAAGGAAAAACCGCCACTTTTTTCAAATTTTCTTGCTGTGGCTTTCACTCCTGATGATGATTGCTTGTGTTGCAGTCGAAGCGTCGTGATAATTTTATTGTTTTATATTTTTATTATTTTATTATTTCCCTTCTTCGTGACTTTACCGAAAGAACCAAGAAGATGTTTCCCTGCAGTCACGAAAACTTTAAATCGAAATTTAATTGTCATCGTAGTTTGTCCGTTGTGAATAGGAGTTCACTTCGAGCGCTGCATACAATGCAATGGCCATGCTATGGATTGACTCAGGGCTGGCATGTGAATTTGGAATTTGCAGCACTGCCTCAGGGTGGGTTAGCAAAGAGGTTGGCATAATCCCAAACACATTTGAGCAGAAATCCACTTTGACTTTCATCTAGCTTCTGTCATTTAATATGTTGTATGGCTGTGTATTTGGAATCAAAATGCTATGTTATACTTATTTAAATTACTGCTCCAGCTGCCAATGCAATGTTGATCTGCATACAACGTTTTCCTTGTTGATGTTGGCTTGTTATCCATGCTTCAACAATACATGTTTTAGTTAAACCAAGTTTTGGTCCGTTGAATATTAAAACACAGCTGCCAATTAGCTGAACGCTTAATGCCGTAACAACGAAGAAACGCTTGCCATGCTCTGCTCATCGTTCTGCGTGCATAATTTCGGCATGCAGAGAACTTGCTAAGTAGAAAATCTGTACCCGTGTGTATCCAAATTAAGCTGTGCATAGCACATTAAATAAGGTCACTTGTGTATTTTTGAGGGAACATTACTTATTGATTTCTGGCACTTAAATATTGGCCCCAATGCGAACGTACTGCGGCCTATTCCTTCTCAATGTCAAATGGACTCGAACATCGATGCACAAATGGCGTCTGTTCAGATGGAAATGCGCGTAAAATATTGCATTGCCTTCATTCCTCCAATTTCCTTTCAAACATTAGACGCAATTCATCGCGTTTACTTTGCGGCATCGATAAAACGAACTTTCCATTATTTAGACGCCAAAGGATGACGTTATACAGCGTTGCATCCTGCAGAGCCGATGCATCGGGAGTTCGTTTTTTGCTGCGTGCCCTTCCACGCCAGTGGATCTGACAAGACGACACTGTGTGTTGTTCGAGCTCTTTACTCGCGAGTAGAAGGTTGCAATTGCAAATCCTCGTTTCGGGTTGACTCGACAAATCGTCTTTCACATACTCAGCAGCGTGAGCGTCACACCTTAGAGGAAATGAACGGTGGTCGTCACCTGGAGAGACTTTCCCCTGCCGCAGAAATGTGGAAGTCCCATCGCTCACGCAAGGATGTAAACAGGAGCTGAGCCCTGCCTCAATGGTGATAAAAAAAAAATGCTTTAAAAAGGGAAATATGCAATTCACACGTCGTACAATCATCATCCCCGCCACAGGAATGTGGAATTGCAACCAATGGCTCAGGGCGATAAACAAGAGCTGTGCACTGCCGACAATGCTCATTTGAGCAAAACACACTTTGACGTTTGAGCAGAAAAGCAATTCCTGTAACCATTGATCACAAAAAAATACCGCTTCATGGGAAGGTCAAAACTGCTTGACCTGTAGAGAAACTGTCCTCTGCCAAAGTGAATGTGGAATTTCTACCAAAGTTTCTATTTAAAGCTTTCGTGACTGCAGGGATTCATCTTCTTGGTTCTTTCGGTAAAGTCACGTAGAATGAAAATAATAAAATAATAAAAATAAAACATATTAACGTCGTGAAAATTATTTTATTATGTTTTATTTTTATTATTTTATTATTTCCATTCTACGTGATTCTACCAAAGTCTCAAGGCCACCGGGAGCCACACGCAGGGCCCCCCCCTGCCCCCGCCCAGAGGCTCGCTTGAGCGTGGAGGCACTTCGACCTCTTGAGCTGCTTTCATTAACGTCGATTTGTGCAATTAAGCGGTAATTGAGCGCCCATCGCGTAACGAGTACGTCTCGTCGGCGTCCAATCGGGAGAAAAAAAACGGCGAGTGACCGGCGCGCGCTGATGGTGCTGCCTGAGCGATGGCGACGGGCGGGGGGGGGCGAGACCCGGGAGCTCAGTTTCCCAGGGTGAGTCACTCTCCGGGCCCGCTTTGAGAACGGTGAGGATGATAAATCTCGGGTACGGGAGCTCTGCTCACCCGGTATCACCACCCCCCCCCCCTTCCCCCCGGCGGGGAGCGTTGGCAGTGACACACGCGCAGGCCTTGATTCCCGAAAGGTCGTATGCGCATTTTTTTTCCGGAGCACCGCCTCCCTCGAGGGCGCCATCGAGCAGCCGACGCGCGGTCGCAAGGCACCGTTCCCATTTTGGTGGGGTTTTAACGGCAACTTCGCCAATCTTTTGCTTCCACTCACAGCAGTGTTTCCAACCGCAAAAATATTAACCAGGTCAGTTCTTGGCTGTAATTTGTACGGCGCTAAGGAATTAGAAATATCAGTCGGTAAAGGAAAACGGTAGAGTTGCAGCCCTGCAATTTCTTACTCGTGCCACTGCTAACGAAAGTTCTTCCACGAGAGAAAGCTCTCGAGAGGTGGGCATATTTATATTTTGGCCGACCCTTTAATGCCAGCCAGACGTTTTGGAAAAAATCGGAGTGCCCACACTATACTCCACCATACGCGACCTTGCTGAGGTCGCATTATCAGTGTTCCCATGTACACCGCTAAGCGGACAGATGCGGGGGGGGGGGGGGGAGATAGGAGATTGCCCAATGTTTCAACTGTTACAAATCAAACCAGGGACCTCAGGATTGCAAGTCCAGTGTGCTAGCATTTACATCAGGCCAGCACCTCTGCAGTATCAAGAGCAGTGGTTGTGTTCGTGGCGACACTGGTACCTGCTGCTTGTAAGATTCGTGCCAAATAGTCTCTGTTTAACAAGCATGGTGCAGTGTTTCTCTTCGTTGGCAGTCCTGGAAAATCCACTTTCCCATTGTGGGAACCATCAAAGTAATTCGAGTGCGTGACTCGCATTTGGAAGGTCTCAAATCCAAACTCATTAGCTGTCAAAAGATTGTCAAAAAATAAGCAACACATTTTGGGAATATATTTAGCAATACACAAAGGTGTGCATTTCATGCCGA